TGATAGACAAAACCTCTCAACATTGTAATCATTGCCCTCTTGATAATTATTGTATCATGATTATAGTAAAAATCTATTCCATAAAACAGACTTTATCTAAGGCCATATTATATATGAACTAAATATATAATTCCATCTGAATAAATAATAAGACATTAAATTAATTTCTTTCTTTTTGCAGCTTCCTCCTTGACTATTTATAGTGACAGTGGATGCAAGAATCGAGAATGAGTGACCCTTTTCAATTTCCACCCATTTCTCATTTCTAAATTCTCTTCCATTCTTGTCTTAATTTTGCAACACATACCAACTTTACAATATAATGTGCTACAGAGCTCCCTGAAGAGGCACTGAATGAGAGCAATGTAGATGCAACAGTTTAGTCTGATCTAGTCAGCCATGCTAAGAGACAGGGTTAATAGCTATGGTGCTGGTATCAGCATGGCAACACTATACTAGTCACATCCAGCGCACTGGATCTGTTTCTATGAAAAAGAGTATCTATCTATCTATCTACCTATATGAGTATATATATACACACACATATTCATATCTGAAAAAGAATATATATTTAGTCATGATGACATTTGAGAATGAAAATAAAATGAAGCACTTGAAGAGGCAGAGAAAGCCAAGTATGTTCAGCCTGGTGAAGAAAAAGCTAACTGGGGATCTAGTTTTTCACTTCAACTATCTAACGAATAGCTATAGAGAAGATGGAGCCAGACTTTTCTCAGAAATGCACATCTCAACAAAAAGGAGCAATAGTCATTAGTTGCAGCACAGGAAATTCTCACAAAGGATAAGGAAAAATATTCAAGACAGTGATTCAGCACTGGAACAGGTGCCCGGAGAGGTGTTGGAATTTCCATCCTCAGATTCAAAACGGAGCTGGCTAAGGCCCTGTACAACCTGATCTAAATATGAAGTTAGTCCTGCTCAAAGGCTTTGGACCACAGGACCTCCAAAGGTACCTTCCAACCAAACAACCTGCATTTCTCTGTGATTTTAAGATACTTGTCATGCTTCTGTATGAAAAACAATGTGAAAACAGCCAACGTAACATTGTCATTTCTCAGCTTTTCATGTATAGTTTTACTTGCTTCCCTTTTAATCTTTTTGTAAGAGTTATACAATTTTACAAGATGGGGTTGCCATAAGCTGAAGTTTTGATGAAGTTCCACTACTTAAATGTGGAAAAGTTGTGGGGTAACGTGCAAGACACAGATCTGTCAACAATTAGGTTAAGAGGCCCCCAACTTGAAACCAAGTCTTCTGGAGTACTGAAATCCAACTGATGATTATAGGTAGCTGATCCATGAAGTCTTGTTTCTATTTCAGATTAAATTATTTCTTTTCAGTCATGTATGTGTGTGTGTAAACACCTACATATACTCATATATCCTCAGTTAAGTCAGTAAAAATTTAAAACATATATACAGTACTGAAAAAATATTAGTTTGAAAATGGCAACTAATATCTCTACTGGTGGCCATGAAAGAAGGTGAAAGCAAAAGGTATGTGGATTTTCAATGGGATCAGAATATTACGATCTCATAGGAAATTTAATTAATTACAAGAAATAAAGGTGTGACTCTTGAAAGTAGAGTCGACCTACCTTGGTTTCCGTTTTTAACCATTCAATAAATATCTTTGCTCTTTCAGTTGTTAAGGTTAAGAACAGTAAAAAGTTATAATGAACATTGCAGTAAATGATATAAGGAATCTAATATTGCTTTCTTTTGACTAATGGAGCAGCATTTTAAAATTTTACAAACTGTATTGCAAAGAAGAGCAATGAGTATGACAGATGGAAACAATCTACAGTGCAACTAATTTTGAATAATTAAGATTGTACAACTTTGGAGAGAGATGAATAAAAGATTCATGGTAAAACTTATACAAGTCTATCATAATTTGGTAAAGTGGCTTTCTTTCTAAAAATTTTCTTATGATGACACGTTTCAAACATTCTGTATTTATTCCAGAATACCAATCAAGTGACATTGTCCAGACTAGAAGGGAAATCATATTTGGTCATAGGGAAAGGAAAAAGTGGAAATCATTGCCCTAGACAAGGAATAAGATATCTTACAATCTTAAAATACTGATGCAAAGCAAAACCTTTTTTTTCCATAAGTATAAAGATTAACTGGAAAGCTAATACCTGTTAAATGAACAAATGTATCTGCTTGTGCTACTACGTAATATTTGAAAACCTTGGAAATACACTGACTATACAGACTTGGAGTGAAAACCTGAGGTTACAGAAAACATTTCTTCTTCCTGTGACTTCAAAGTGGAACCAGATTTCACTCTAAAATTTTCATCTCGCTATTTAATATTGCATTTTTTTGCACTTTCCCTTTAAAAGCATATATTAAATGCATATTTTTGTTTATCATTCTTTTTAACCTAAAAATCCTCATGATTACAAAGTTTATTCTGGAATATGTGTTAAGTATTAAGGTTCTCAAAAAATTTGTTTGAATTTTTGAGCCAAACTTTAGTCTAATACCTTTAGAGTAAAGTTAGTCTGTCCCTTTAAAGTCTAATGTGAAAGACTTCAAAATAGCAAATTGTATGGAACTCAATCTGTTTATCTGAAAAGGATGAAAGGGTTTGTGCTCCATCTAGATTTGAACTTTTGGTTCCACAGTGTCTAGGTATTTCAAACCAGAGGTTTACACCATTAAGACATGCCACTCATGATAACTCAATCTTTCCTGTGTTAATATCCATGATAGAAAGGTAAATGAATGCCTTGATAAAGTAGTAAAAAATACCTTTAAATACTAAATAACTACTGTTATGAAAAGTGTCTATCAAAATTGCAATTTCAGGCACAATAGGTGATATTTATCTTTCTTTTTAATCATTCTGTACAAATCTCAGAAAAAAAAAAAGCACGTCACTAACAGGAACATTAGTTCATTCCCTAATGGCACATGAGAAACTCCTCTTTCATTTATTACCTTTGTCTCATCCCACTTCCAAGGTAATCTGCTTAAGACTACCTTAGCCAACCAAGCTGTGAAATAAATCCAATGTACCTTATAACACAGGCAGCCCCAGTTAATATTGCTCAAATTATTTACAGCTGAAGGGCCGCGCCTGTCTGGATAGCTGGGCCCAATGCTTCTCTGGACTTGGTTTCTGCTACTCACATCTGTTTCAGCTTTAGACTTTCACTGGTATTCTGCCAGCAGCGTTGTTCTTCCCCCCCCAGCCACAACTTTTTAATGGCTACAATAAACTACAGAGACTCATCAAATCTTTGTTGTACGTGTTAAAATTATAACCTCTTCAATTAAAATTTTGATTTAAAAATAAACAACAGTATTATCTGAAGAAAAAATCTGAAAGAGAATGTTTGAAAGAGATATAACGTTTTTATATGAGTGACTGTTTCTTTGTTTAAATATAAGAGAAACTAATCGCAGGAAT